CAGAACTTCTACCCCGGTTTCTTCTTTCTCCAGCTTCCCGGCTGCCCGCACTGCCCCGGGTTTGTGCCGACCCCTCGGCCCCGTTCGTAGGGACGCGAGGAGCTGCTTTAGGATCGGGTACCGCTTCCCGAAGGGCTTTTTGCAGCAGAACGTCGTCAGGAGAACAGCTGGCTGATCTCGGGCTGCCTGCAGGCGCTGCGCTGGGCAGCTCCCAGGCTCTCGGGGACTTGGGGCTCGGTCCCCGACGGCTGCAAGGCTGGTGTGAAGCCGTCAGCCAGGCCTCCTCCATGTCCTTTGAGAAAGGCGGCATCTTCTCCTCTTGGCTGGGCTTGATGTCGGTATCGCCTCTCGCTGGGGAGGTGCTGGAAGACACAAAGCACTGACAGTGCATAGTTTTATTGGGTTTTTTTGTTATGGCGTTTGATTAATTTTAGTAGTTTGGTAGTAAATAACAGTGGCTCATTTTTACTTTAGTATTTGTATTGCTGCCACAAAGTTTAATGGTAAAGCTTATTACCGTTTACCGTAATGATAAGCCTGCAAAAGGGAGAAGAACAGCAAAGAGAAAATGCTGAGCTGTTTGCCTGCTTGAAAGGGTGTGAGACTAACTCATCCCCCCAAGTTCTGCTCAAAACTCTCCCTCTTCCAGTGTCTGTGTCTGGTTTCCATGGCATCGCGATGCCCAAGCTGGGGATGTCATGCCAGGGGAGAGGCTCAGAGCTGCTGAGCCCTGCAGACTGTAGTCGTGAGGGATGTGGCACTGCTGTCACGAGACCTTCGTTCCCAGCAGACTGCGTGAGGCTGCTGCTGCTGCTGTGGGCGTGCAAGACCGTGCCCCTCTGCTCCAGCGCATGGCACCACCTGCCCACTGTCATTCTCCATGTCCTGACCTAAGAAACAGTAGTTGCCGACAGCATGATGCCCCTCCTGATCAGAGGACTTCAGTCCTGATCAGAGGACTTCAGCTGAGTGTGGCAGCAAATCTGTATTTCTTGCAGTGAAGTCGGGGATTCCCCACTGGGTACCCAGGTGTTGTGTAGGACCCTACAACAAACTTGAAGCTTACTTTTAAGGCAAGTCTGCTTTCTTGAGCAGATTCCCTCATGATAGTTGCAGGATAGCTGGAAGTCAAGATGTCTGCAAGGAGAAGTACAATTCCCCGCGTTTGGGCAAAGAGAATCATTCAAGGCATGCTTGCCTGCCATGCCAGCCTGCATCCATGAGAGAAGAAGGGAGCCTGGTTCCTGATTGCTTTTAACAGCATCATGTGTGAGATGAACTCTGGCATTAGAGGGTAGCCACAGTCCTTGTTTGAGCATGTTTGCTGGTGCGTGAGTGGGCATGAGCTGGCAGTGGTGGGGATAGGCAGGGGCAAAGCCAGACCCGCTCCTGCCAGCAAAGGCTGTTCCTGGGTGCTCAGCTGACCTGAAGCTGCCCCACAGATGTGCACGCTTTCTTGTGCTGTTTGTAGGGCTCCTATCACACCAGAGCACTGATCTCTGGCTGCTGCGCACTGCGTAACATGCACAAAGTGGGCTGCCTCGGGGAGTGCTGATGGATGGTGCAGCTCCCTGTTTTGCATTAGTGTTTCTTCTGGTCACTGATAATAACACTTCTACTCTGAAATACCAAGTGGCAAATTTTGTGAGGTATCTCCCCATTTAGTGAAGCCGCTTGTCCAGTGCTTTGTGGAGACCGGTGGGAGGTTGCCAAGTACATGGGGCACTGGGAGGCTTGCCCGCCGCTGCATGCGCCAGGTGGGGGGCCAGCGTGGGAAGCGGTGGCTGAAGTCCTGTGATCAGGAGGGGCATTGTGCTGTCAGCAGCCACCATTTCTCAGGGCAGGACATGGAGAATGACAGTGGGCAGGTGGTGGCATGAGCTGGAGCAGAGGGGCATGGTCTTGCACGCCCTCAGCAGCAGTAGCCTCACGCTGGGGTGGGATCAGGTGCCTGAGGTCCATTATGAGCCATGCCTGCTTTGCTGGCAGTGTATTGCCAGCAGTCATGAATGCTTTCTTCTTCTCGATCCCTCTTCTGCTTGGAGGGTCCCACTGGTGTCACTGGGCACTGGGCCACAGGATGAACTTGGCCTCTGGAGAAAGTTTCACACCTTTCCTAACAAGCCCTGCACCCCAGACAGGACTGTCAGGCTGGCGTTGGGCACTGGCAGCCCTCTCTCCCCTGCAGCGTGGTCCTTCAAGCCTCCCTATTGCCAGCAGCAGCTGGGCAGGCTGTGCCTCCCCCTCCCCACAGTGCGACCCATCCAAACTTGTGGCGGCTCTGCATTGTGCAGCAAGTGCTCCCAGCTGTGCCTTTCACACACCCAGAGGTGCATCTGGCCTTGCACCCATCCCGCCTCGGCAGCCCCTTGCTCCCAGGGCTTTACTTCGTGCCACCAGCTGGGTTGGGACCCTCCAGCGGCCCCTCCAAAGAGGCCCGCATACTGCTGAGCGGTTGCCCTCAGCTCCGCCAAGACATGTGCTCTCCTGGGATGCTTTAGCCTCACCTTCACCCTTCCTGGCTGCCCGCTGGGATTTGTCCGGAGCTGCACTGCAGCCTGCCACGCTGGC